GTCTATGTGTATGTAATATATGTGTACATTTGCGTGCACATATTTGGATGTAATATGTGTATATTATATATGTGTATATGTATGTATGTATGTGTTATGTATGTATATGTGTATGTATAATATACATACACATAAATATAAATATATATATATATATATATATATATATAATATATATATATATATATTATATAATATATATAATATATATATATAATATATATATATACACACCACACACACACACACACACACACACACACACACACACACACACACACACACACACACACATACACACGTTTCAGCATGTGTTATAAGCATAGTATATGAAAAGAGTAAAATGGGAGCACATTCATATTGTAACTTACATGTTAACAATGTAGGGTGACATAACATATATTTCCCAACCACCAGCAACATGGAATACTGTGTCTTGAGGAGAGAGGGAATACCTGGAAACCGCAATAATCACTACTATCATAATAAAGCAATCAAATTCTTCAGTTATGTAGAGATCAGAGAACACTTTTATCGTTGTGCAATATATACAGCTTGCAAAATTTTGTTACAAAGTAGACTGTATACAGATCTTAGGTCTTGCATATGCCATACAGCATAGTCATATCATTTAATCCTATATCAATGCCATAAATAATAATCTTTGCAGTTTTAATATATGACTTGATGAGAGTATTCATTTATCAGGATGACTACTGTACTATATCAACTACTGAATTTATTTCCAGCTTGCAAGCACAATTCATAAACTAAAGCTGAATTACAATGAACACATGTAAGAAAATTTAACTGGAACTGAATTAATGAAGTTTCTATACATCTGAATGATGACTCTGATCGTCTGAATGGAGTGCCTGATCATCTGGATGATGAGTTTGAATATCAATGTGATGAGACTGTAGTTCTGGATGATGGGTCAACAAGTGGCTGTTGAGGTTGGACTTCCTAGAAGAGCGATAAGGGCAGTGTAAGCAAGTATAAGGTTTCTCTCCTGTGTGTGTGCGTATGTGCGATTTAATGTTGTCTTCTTGGGTTGCTCTGAATGAGCAATATGGACATGAGAAGGGTTTCTCTCCTGTATGAGTGTGAATGTGTCTGGTGAGATTGGTGGTCTTGTTTGTGATGTAATTACAATATGAACACTTGTGCAACTTGCGAGCATTGAGATTTTTCCTTCCTCTTGGGTCGCCTCCCCAACTTCTCCGCTTGAGGCCTTTTTCGGACACCACCTGCGGGGGTACGCCTAGCTTAATATCAATGAAATAGTGCATCTTTTTTTTATATACATATTCTTTCTTCTAGGCTACCAGTACTTAGCACTGAAGTAAATGAATCTCTAGAGCAATAACATATCAGTACTATTTCATTTCTTGATAAAACAGTACATTGAATTATTCAATTATTCTTTTTAAATACCTTTACACACCAAATTGATAAATGCTTACATCTACTCATGTGCTGAGTAAATAATGTAGATATAAAAACTTGCCATGGCATTCTGGTAAATATATATGCAGGGGGCCAGAAAAAATGAAAATCAATAACTACTGTCCATTTGCTAGTTATGTGATGCTGCTCTTAATCAAATCTAAAACAATGAATAATAATAACAAAATAAAGGCCAAAGCTAATAAGACTTCAAATGCTAAATAATTCAATCAAAACATTGGAAATTATTGTGTTTCTATATACACAAAAGAGATGTAAAACAAACATCAATAAGCTTGCTATTATTAAAAAAAAAATGTTATCACCAACAATTTGAAATATATATAAAGAGAGTATATTAACAACAACCATTTGAGCATAACACCCATCATTAAAAATAGCAAAACTGAAGAATATATATGACAGAATCTAAATTTGTGTGAGAATTTTTGAGCAACCAAGATTCAGAATACTTTGATATTTTTACTTTGAGTAACAAAAATAAAAAATATATATGCATGTAGAATACTGACTTTGTAATCTTTATTAAATATTGTAAATGTATAATCTCACACACTAATATATTTATTCCCTTCATCCAGTAAACAATAAAAAAGAAAAGAAATGGAAAAAGATGAAATCAATATCAAACAATGAAATGAACACTCTCAAGTAGAGTACTCTCTCAGGTTATTCGAAGGGAGTAATGAGCGGCCTGACCATGTTTTGTGCTACAGTGTGACAATACCCTTAGTATGAATAATTATACAAAAAAAGTATGTACTTATATAGTGTGACTGTGTATGTGAAAGAACAGGTAAAGAGGTAGACTAACCATGCACAGGCCTTTTAAATGAGACATATGATACTTTCACTTTTTATTTTCTTTGATGATTTTGAGCTGAATAGGCACAGTAAAATAAAAATAGATTGGAAGTATGCTAATGAAAGCATAAGTTAGACTTTGCAAGCAAATCATAGGTTTTTGAAAACAACTAACTCTCATAAATTATGTAGAGTAATTTAGCTCTTAACATCATCAACTGAAGGAATCTACACAAAATTAATACAGTCTACAAATATGCAGTCACAAATGTAAAAACTCGGAAGAAGTAAGTGATGAAGGTAATGATCATATTGTAGGATGTTTTGTTGCCATGTGAACATTCAAATTAGACTTTTGTGTAGCTTTGTATGAGCACAGTGTGCACACATAAGGTTTTTCTCCAGTGTGTCTTCGAATGTGCTCTGTCAAGTAATTCCGGTGGGAAGCCCTGTAAGAGCAATAGGGACAAGGATACGGTTTTTCTCCTGTATGGCTGTATATGTGTTCCTTCACCAATGCCTTTCTAGGTGAAGAATAAGAACAGTATGGGCATGAATGCATTTTTTTCACTTTGTGTTTAAAGGCATGTTTCTTAAGCTCATTGGCATCAGTTGTATTGAAGTCACACTGGGAACACTGGTGTGGAAGGTGGCCAGTAGGTGTCTGCCATGATTCACTTGTTCTTTCCTCTCCAATCCATTGGGTGTCCATCTCCATCTGAAGAGGAGGTTCATCTTACTCTTGACCATATACTGAATGACTAATTTTTGTTTTGTTTTGTTTACAAAGTAGAGCAGACTTCAGTAACAGTAATATCTGTGACAGTAAATATTCACAGTATGAGAATAATGGTTAAATAACCAAACAGCTTAAATATCATCATTTGACTGTCTCGACTACATCTTACTCTTGCTATACCATACTTGTAAACCTGCAACATATATCCTTATAAATTTTTTTGCAATACAGTATTGAGGACTAAAAGTACCTAATTACTATGAAAGAGGGAGAGATGGAGAGCAGGAGGGAGTGACAGTGATATAAAAAAAGAGAGATGGAAAGAGGGCTTGATAAAAAAGAAAGAGGAGTGGAGTGAGGGAGTGAAGTTGGGAGCGAGAACAAGCACAAAGTTTAATATATGTTCCTCTTCTTGAAATAGTTGGTCTTAGAAAGAAGGCCCCTATTAGACCACACAGGTTAGTTCAGGATAATTATTTGAAAATTGCTGTCATTAGTTTCATGACACCCACTTGGCCTCAGTTATCTGACTTGAATTTGTTGATATTACTATGATAGCTTAACCCACTAACAACGGGTGTCCACATATGAGACACCCAAAAAAATTAACATTGCCGGGCATCTCGCCAGTGTTATGCTCTGTTGGGGCTTGCGCTCTGATGCAGCAGCAGGCCACGGCAGGTGGGCGGACAGAGTCCAGGGCAGCTCTGCCTGCCGATTTTGTAGCCGCCCGGAATCTTTTATTTTCGGCTTCAAAATATACCGACGTTAATGGGTTAAGCCTCTTACATTTAAGCCCTAATTATGTTTTCAAAGACAAAAAAGTAGTGCAATTGGTGGTAATGTATCAAAATGTAAATGTGCAAAATCTACTTTGTAATACAAAGTAGATGCTTTAACCATATGACTAACAGTGCCATTAAGAATTCCAGTACGTCTACCTATGTAAATTGTATCGGAATTAGTACTGTATATGCATTAATATGCCTTTATTATTATCATCATCTTTTTTTTTTTTTTTTTTGCCACATCACCTGTTTCATCCCAAGCTTGCCAGGTTTATAGAGGAACAACCTGCATTAGCAAATGTAAATGCTCCTACATATAAACACCTCCAAATTCTTACATAATAAGGCTTTCTTTCAACCTTCCAGAATCAAATCTATTCACACACCTTGAAAAATCTTATTTTGAAAATAATGCCTTTTTTCACATCATGATCAAAATGCCAACATTATATGTAATTTGATGCATCTTTGATACTTGGTAAGTATCATTTCAATTGATGAATTTATGAAAAAATCTTTTCATTCACAAAATCTCACTATTCATTGTACTTTTAAAATAAAAATCCTTTACAAAACATGTTCCAAGGTTAAGAATAAGTGCAGATTATAATTGCAAATTCTTATATAAAATCATCAGTTTATTTGGATATCTTAGTAAGTGATGTTAGTAAAGACTAATAATCTTTAATATATCAATTGTTTACAGCTAACTTTTAAAAATAATTAAAACATTAATTAAATGGATTTCTGCTGTTAATAGAACTTTGGAATTTGTTTTAAATTAAGGGCACACAATAGTTGCATGCATACACAAGTGTACTCACAAGTATATGCACATATATTATATCTTTTTAAAGACTAGAGTATAATCATTTGGTCCAAAAATCATTAGGAATTATCATACATATACTGGTACAGTATCTATCAATCCATCAATTCAAAACTATCATCTAGTATAATACTACACATGCAGTTATTCTATTCCAGAAGTATTAAACTCAGAACAGCTTATAAACTCTGAAAAAATTAACGATAGTAATCTATAAGATACCATCATTTTACAGCAGGATATCTAAAATTCATACTAAAAATACTATTCTTTATTAAGCTTCATTTTTTCTACAGGTAAATCACACTAAAGAGTAGGCAAAAACTTCGCTATCTAAATAATTCTAGTATTTCTTTTTGGAAACACATAA